CTCTCTCTCTCTCTTCTTCTGCACAGCCTCTCTTTCTTTCCTCAGGGCTGTGGTGGGGCACAGCCTCTCTCTCTCTCTCTGTGTCTGTCGCTGTGAGAGTTTATCTTTCTTCGTTCGCTGCCAGACTGTGCTTGCTATACTGAGTCTGTGTATGTAGGGTTTGGGGTTTAAGGTTTTTAGGGGTACATGTCAATGTCCCGTACTGTCCCGTAGACGGCATAGGAAGGAGCTGTGATTCAGCGAAATCATGCATAAAAAAACGAAAATCGGTGGAGTACCGCATGCTTGTGGCTCAACATATGCATGCATTGGTACACTGCTTTGCCATGTTCCCACACTCTAGATATCGACGCCGTAGCGTATTGCCACACATTGGCTACTCCCCGAGAAGGGGTAGACTCTCACTCAGAGTCCACTGCAGCTGCTTCGAGAGAGAGCGGTCTTGGGCTTTGGCGGAGACCTGGGTCTTGAAGTTGTCGGCGATGACCCGGAAGACGAGAGCCACGTCCGCCGCGGAAGGCCTCCGGTAAAGCCAAGGATCCCCGCCCTTTGCCATGGAAAGTGAGGATTCTAAATTCTAAGCCCCCAGGCACGTAGTTGAAGGTGGTCTGCAGCACGGAGGTGGTCGAGCCCACCTACGTAGCCACGGAGGACCCGAAAAGGAGGGGACGCTTAGGGAAAGCCTTGGCCATGGTCGCCACGGAGGTGCCGGCCAAGACCTGGACACGGCTTTACTCCACGCCCGGCCGAAGTCCCGAAGCTCTCTTATTCAAAGGATGGCTTCTGTTGCGTTTCGGTTCTGTTGGGCCCCGTCCTAGCACTTCTGCTTTTGCCGAGGCACAATGTAGCCCAAAATCGGGCATGCTCCTGTCTCCGTTGGAGGCTCCCAGCCGAGTTGGACCAGGGTGCCTCTGGGCAAGGGAAGGCTTCGGCGCTGCTCGCTCGTCGCACAGTGGCCCGCTCTTTCTGGTAGCGCCTACAGCAACCCTCTAGACCCCGCGTCTCAGACGACCCTGCCTGACCGCTGCAGCACGCGAAGGTTGCCAACGGCACCTCGCCGGAGGGACAGTAAAGTGATTGGACAGCTTCAAGGCAATCGGAAGCCCCAGTGCAGTGCCTGGCTCGTTGCAGGGGGCCACTTCGATAGCCTCAAAGGCTTCCATGGTTGCACACAGCCGCAGTTCTGCCCGCAGTCCCGGCAGATCGCGAGCTCAGGCAGCGGCAGCCGCGGTGCCTTCGCCCTTTGCTGTAAAGGCCTTCACCTGAAAGTGCCGAAGCTTCGGACTTCACCGTCCCAAGGAGCCGAAGAGACCCTGCGCTCCTCCGCTTTGTAGGTATACCCGCTGGCCAAGCCGACCTTCTGGAAGACTTGCCTCAAAAGGGGGCAGAGGCCACTCAGACACTCAAAACTTCTTCAGGGTCGGTTGCGCCAGCAGTGGGGCTGTGGCGCTGTGCCAGAGTATTCCTCTACCATGGGCCCACCAAGAGCATCGTCCATGAACACCTCACAGCAAGAAAAACAGCCATGGCCATTAGCAAGGGCAGGACTACAAGAGCTCCAAATCAGATCTTACTGTTTACTGAGCCTCTTGACATACAGATCCCGCAGAGAAATACTGTAGCAGGAGGCACTCCCTCCCCGCATGAAAACTCAAGAACCACCATCCTTGGCCACGCCTTGTAACCCAGAATGGGCATTCCTCCAGTGTCGCTGGGCGGGTCCCAGGACACGGTCACGGAGATCAGCGTCGAAGCCTCAACATGTTCTGGGCGACACGGCCAGTTTTGCAGCCTGTGGTGCGGGACGGGCGCCAGTGGCTGAGGTGGCGACTGCCAGCGCCAGGTTCACAGGTGCCGTCGGGTAGGTGGCAGAGTAGTAGATCTGGCAGCCAAGGCTACAGAGAGAAGATGCATTGGGACTACAGCTCTCTGCAGCCAACGGATGGCCTGATTGCGTGTGCATCCCACGTAGACATCAAATAAAACGAACATAGCAACACAGACACACTCCGACCCGAAGAGCGCCCGAAGTGTTCATGAAAGCTCCACTTCAGCCAGAGATACCGAGGTGTCGCTGCGGGTACCGGGGAGCGAGTGGGACTCTGCCTGGCGAATGCACCGCACTCCGCCGCATGCTGAAGTCCAAGTCCGAAAACAAGGCTCTTGACGCTGTCGCTCTCTCCCTTGAACAGCAAGGGCATGCAAGGCTGCATGATGGCTGCATGATAAACCAGGGCCATGCCGACCATGGTGTTCACGACCGCCACCTTGGACAAGTCTCGAGGTTGGTGGGGGGAAAGGGACCGTGCTGATGTTTCATGGGGTCGGCGCTTCGATCTGTAGGGATGCGCCAGTCAGGAAGGTGATGACGTCTGACTTCGTGCCTGACAACGTCCGTCTCAAGCAGACAGCAAGCCGCGACATCCCCCCTGCATCCTTTTTTCTGCCTTGGTGGAGCCGTGCATCTGGTGAATTTCATGTGCCGTCAATCTAAGCATGTCGAACGCACATGCATCAGATCTTGTTGCTGATGCCTGCAGTGATAATCGTTTCTCTAAAGACTTGGAAGTTCAAAAGCGAGCTTCTGGTGCCCTGGCCCTGGCCGTACTACAGCCTGCATGGCCCATCGATGGTCCGAGCCCGAGATGCGCGGCTCACCGGTCACTTGGTCGCATCTCCTTGAGCCTCAACCAAGGCTCTGAGCATGCCCAGGCGATCGTCTTCGGCTGTCAGGTGCGCCAGACGCCCGATCAGCCACTTCTCCGGGCCTCAAAAAGAAGGCATAGGAATAGCTAACTACCCCTCCATCCTACGGAATAGTCAGAATAGTAGAGCCAAAGAAGGACCCGCGAAACTGAGGCCAAGGGGCTGCGGCCCTCGAAGTGCTGCGTCTTCACGCGGCCCTTCATCTTGATGGCCTGCTCCCCGAGGCGGCGCACCACCTTCACGCGGTCCTCCTGCTGCCAATCCATGCGGATGAGATTCGTCGCTTCCTGCGCAAGCCTCCGATGTCGTATCAGTTTACATCGCACGTGCAGGCATCTGCATGCGTGCGCAGGCTGTCTGACTCTGACGTGCCTTTGGAACATCGTATCTCGCTCAAGAGCCCGTCGAGCTGCGCTGTCGCGGCGCCGCTGGCCACGGCTGCAGCTCAAGGCGTGGTGGCTCGGATGATGGCAGTACCTGCAGCCGCCGAGCTGCCAGTGCTTGCACTTCCCCTGCTTGTTGCAAGGCCTCCAAAACAGGGAAAGCAGAGGGAAGCAAGGTCCGGTCCAGAAAGAAAGCACTTGGGCCCACCCCCCTTCGCGCCGGGCCTGCAGTTCGGATGCCGCGCGTCCCCAAAGTTTTCGTGGAAGTTAGGGGCTTGGGAGCTGTCGGCCTGGGCCTGCGGGAGCTGAGGAAGGAGAGGCGTCGTACTCATTGGGCTTCCGGCCGCCGTGGTGCTCGGGGTCGGAAAATCCTCCAACACAAGCACCGGCACGGCCGGCACTCGTGCCAGGACCCAAGTTGAAGAGAAATAGCCAATTTCAGGAGGACAAGGTCGAGATTGGGTTTGCCAGAAGAGCTCATCATCGGTGTTCACTTCCTCTGCATCGTGCTCCTCCTTCTGGCTCAACTCGCTCTCCGACAGGCACCGTGCCATGTCAAGTCTGCGCAGCTGGGAGGCTGGGAGGATACTAACTAGCTGCCAGCAACCTTGAGAGGGAAGGCAGTCTGGCGAACGATGATGGCGGAACGGCATTAGCCCAGGGGAAGCATGCGCATCCAGATCATAACCGGCACCGAGCGTGCCTGTGCCACTCCATGCAAGCTTGTCAATCGGGCCCGCATCGAGGCCATCGCGATACCAAACCTTCGAGCAACGTAGACAGACTGCTCTGATGCTGCTTGATCTTCGGTCTAGAGGGCTCATGCGGCGTGCAATGCCTCGTAGCGGATGATGGGGGACCCGCCGTCGTCGGACGGTGCTGTCCAGCTCACTACAGTCTGCGTGCCTCAGTGCTTAAGCAACGGTACCAGTCCACAGAAAGCCGCGGTTTGCTTGGGGTCCATGCGGGAGTCGTGCGTGAAGGTCACGGCCGTCGGCTTACCAGGGAGTCCAGCCGCTAACATCGTGGCCTCGGCACAAGCTGGGCACAAGGTAAGAAAACATCAACTATCTCCACTCGAAGCCCAGCTCAACACGGAGACCTGGCAACTTGTCGAGGCACCGTGTCCGAGCGTGGGCTTTCTCCGGCATTGTTCACCGCCGACACCTGGAAGTGGTACCTCTGGGCTGATGGCTACATGACCGCGACGGCAGGCTGCTGCAGTTGAGCTACCCAGCAGACTAAGGGACCACGTTATCCTTTCATGGACTGCGAGCTGCACCAACTGGAAGCTCAAGCAGCATCAGCGCATTGAGTTCTTCATGCTAGCGACGCAGCGCTTTTGGAACCGATTCCTTTCACCCTGCAATGTGCCCTATGGGCTAGACCTGCAAAGGCGATGCGATAAGGTGTCTGGTGCATTCCACAGATGAAGCTGATTTGGTTTTGGATTTGCTGGCGTGCGTAAGGCGTAAGGATACCTCCTTGGGACTGCAACGCAGGCCAGGTGTTTGGTTACGGAGCTTAGTTGTTTTAAACCCACAAACACAAACGCTACAGTAGCGACTTCAAAACGCAACCTCGGCATTCCCCGAATGCACCTTATTGCCTTTTCCCCGCAATTTCCCAAACGCCAAATGCTAGCTATTGGGGCGGAACACTCCCAAACACAATCCAAGGAAAAATCAGTGGTGAGTGATGGGGAAAGGCATAGCAGCAGAAGATGAGCCAATCAACCGAATGATTTCATTTTTGCAACGAGCAAAATCATTGGCAAGTGCTGGGCAGGCAGCAATTAAGATGCATTTTTGGAATTGCGTTTGCCCTTTTTTTCGAGAGTGCCCGGACCCCACACACTAGCGATCTCAAGTGCGAGCGGCTTTTTCAAACGCGAACGTGGCCATGCGAACAGCTAAATGACTATTTAGGCACAGGGAAGAATCCTAACATGATTTTGACCCCAAGGCCTTGCGGCAGGTTCGGATTTCCAAACTCTAGCGATATGGGCTTTGTTCCAGACGCCAGCGATTCTAGCTCGCCATGCAAACTACTAAATGATTGTTCTGGCACAAGCACAGAGTCTTAGATGATTTGAATCCGATGACACAGCCCCTGTGAGTTTCGACATCTTCTTAGCCCCTGTGAGTTTCGACATCTTCTTGTGCACCGCACCCTGAACGCCAGTCTACTCTAAAGCTCGGGACGCAACACGCTTCAGCAGATGTTTTCGAGGTGAGGTTCAAGACAGAAGACAGTGACAGTTGCTCACAAGACGTGCGCAGGCGCACGTGGAGCCGGTCATGAGACCAGTGGACTCGTAGGACAAGGTAAAGCCCTCGTAGATGAGGCTGTAGGCAGCTCCATCCAGGGCCTGAGCGCTTCGAGAAGCAGCCGAGGCTTGAAGTCGCTCTCGCGGCGAAGCTCGCGTCGAAGTCGTTCCCGCCTGGTAGAGCCGGTAGGCGGTGATGGCCGATCCCATGCTATCAGGCGCCACCCACCTCAGAAAGCGGAAGGAACAATTTCGAATCCGCGACGCTGCTCGAACTTAGAGCCACAGGTCCTCCGACTTTTTGCAGTTTCACACGGGCTCCGGCGCCAGGGTGATGGACGTTCGCGTGGACGTGGCCCGCGTGGGCGTGGCCATCCTGCGCTCCCGATCGGACATATTGTACTCGAAGATACTACAAGTACGAGTCTAACAAACGATAAAACGATAAGTGTACTATTGCTTCGGGTGATTCTGGTCGTTGCAAGGATCCAACTCAACGAGTCGACTTGCAGTTTCATCGGGCAGGATAAAATTCCGCTTCTGATTGGACTTCGAGAGAGGCTGTCGTGCTTTCGCTCTCTGGGCGCGCAGCTTGGCGGGCTCGGTGGCACACACGGTGCTGACCTTCAGGGAAGTTCTTCCCAACACGAGGAAAGACGTGTCAATCACGTTGTGCGCACACCTCGCTGCCGTACTTGCCCCATCCGACGGCGTTGCGCGCACGGATCCGGAAGACCAGGTCCGCACCTCCGCAACGGAAGCGGATGTGCCAAGCTTGCCGAGAGAGAGAGAGAAAGCCAGAGCGAGAGAGAGAGAGAGAGAGAGTAGCTGGTCAGATGCCTTGTGTGCAACCTTGCACCAGCGTCGAGAAATCGCCAGCAGCATTGGTCGCCACCTGAACATCCCAATGGGAAAACGCAACTACGGGTCTGGTTCCGGACCTTTCACTATGAGATGCTATAGTATAGTGTGACCAAAAGAAAGGCTTGAGTAGCAAAGGACAGACCTACTTGGATCTGCGCCACGACATGTCCTCACCCCTCCGGCCCTCCACAAACTACCCGAGCCTCCTACGAAACATCAACCTCCAACAGGCTCCGAAGTGCCTTCTGACTAGACTGGGTCTGGAATGTCAGCACACTCTGCTTCGGGAAGCCTATGAGGGGTACACCGACTCCGGGAGAGAGGTTGGCTCACACTTCGCCGGCGTCCCAATGAAGGGCATTTCTGTCGCTCCAGCCACTCGGCTCAGGCTTCACTGACTACTACTGTATACTGTACTACAGTACCACACTACACTACACAGCATATTGAACATTGCACTAGAGTCTAAGATTACACCATAAGACAAGGAGATCTGGGCCGGGATCCCGGCTACTGTCCAGCCCCCGGCTGCTTGGTTCATGGAGATCTCGTAGAGGTCCACCTTCGATCGCACACCATTGCCATACTTCGGAGATGTCAGAAGCTCCAACTTCATCCTTCTGATCCGAAATCCACGGGACTTTGGATTTTGAAGCCTTTCGGAAGCAGGGAGATGACACCAGAGATGACCCCGGGATGGATTCAGCCGCGGCGCTGCAATGCCGCCGTTCTCCAGGGAGGGGGGGAAGTCCACCTCAGCCGCAGCAAATTCAAATCTCAAAGCCTCCCCCGTTTCGACCCGAGCCCGCGGCGATGACGTCGCCCAGAGCTGGGTACGCGAAGTAGATGGCACCTGCAGGATTCTCCGACAGCAGCCATCTGTTCAGATCTCTCACAAAGTGGCTCGCACCCGGCACCTGGTGGATCCGGTGGTTGTGCCACGTGCCCGCAGGCAGCGTCACTCAGGCGGGGCCTCGAAATGGACGGTGTGCGATGGTCGTCACAGTCGTCACAAGCCCATGTGGCTACACAGCCCCTTGTCTTCTGCGCTCATACTCGTAGAGACACCTCGCCCTTCACGGATATCCTTGATACTCCTTGGTCGGCTCCCCCAAGCACGTGGCTGTTGGTCATCCAGCGCATTCGTCTCCGTGACGAAGTTCAGAGCCGCGACTTTGAAGCAGAAAGTGCCTTCGCACTCCAAGGGAATGAGGTGGTCACAGCAATGCAAAAGAGGGTTGAGAAAGAGGTCTGCAAAAAAAAGGAGTCTTAAGGAGTCGTGTTCTTTTTTTTTCCTGGCTCGATGCTCTGCTTGGAAGTGATGGGCCCCCGCGGGCTTCGCTCGCTTTGGGGCCAAGCTCCGATGCCGCCATCTCCGGGGGGAGGTCCGGCGTCACAAAGACGGAGCATCTGTTTCGTCTCCACGGCTACACCGTTCACCCTCAACCTTTGGAGAACTCCGCGCCAACCATCTCCACCCTGCCATGGCACTGGACTTCAAGGAAGCAGAAGCTTACTCTGCTCTCTCCACGATTCGGCCTCCTGCCGTCGGCCTCAGCAATCGGAGTGACATCTTAGCATGTCTTGGGAGCGCAAGGCAAGGAACCAAGCTGCCGACATCGGTGGTACTCGGACTCCGCTGATGGACCAAGGGCGAAGCATCCCAGGTTGTGTCCTTCGCAGCTGTAGCAAAACTCCAGGTCAAGTCGACGGAAACTCGAGCCCTCCATCTTTCCTCACCAGAGCTTGTTGCACACTTCTCTTTAACAGCATCTGGTAACTTAACAGGCATTGAGGAAGGGTTGTGCTAGGAGGTTGGCGGGTCCTCCTCGTCCGCGTCCGCGCAGCTGTTGTAGATGCGGAAGAAGAGCCTCAGACTCTTAGGGAATACTCAGGGCCACTGGCGGCGCAAAGCGGATCTCGCCAAGCCAAGCGGCGGCGTGCAAATCAGAAAGACCGAGCACAGGACGAAGACCTGGCGGAGCGGCTGCTCGAGCTGCGCACTGTCAAGCCGCTCTTTCCCAGAGAAAACCCTCTGCCATCTACATCATCTACTTCACCCCCTCCGGAGGTTAAGAGCTCTCAGCTCGCCCCCTTCTTAGATCGGAACGCATGATTCACGCCTTGCAGTATCTCTCGATCAGGATCATCTTCTGCCTCGCTCTGAGGCATCTTCCGAGATTCAGACGCGTGGGATTGGTCCATTGGTTGCTGGCAGTCCGCCGTGGCATGCTAAGAAGCTGTGCAAGCTAATTCAACCCTTTTTCCCGAAACCCGTTGACCCCAACGCCCTGATCGAACCCTTTAAGCTCTGAGCCTAACCCCCCTAACCCCGAAACAGCCCCCGTTTGCTACGAAGCGAAGACAACGAGAGCCGACCTGCCCGGTGACATCGACTCCGCTGCGACGATCACCGGCGCTTCAAAGACCTGGCTGCGGGTTCTGAATCCGCCAACATGTGTGGGTGGCTCTCTAAATTAAGGTCCCTTTTAGGGTCCCGTTTACAAGGGTGCCCTTCCTAGTTTAGAGAACTAACCATGTCTAGAACGCACTGTACCTGAAGAGCAGGACCGAGTGACCTTCGGTGAGCCGGCAAGGTTCAACTCTCTACGACTTGCTCTAACCTAAGGCGCACGGCCTGAAAGTCAGGATTGGTGGGATCCTCATTCCCAGGACACCTAGAAACGGAGAGAGAGAGAGAGAGAGAGACAGAGAGAGAGAGAGACCGAGATATAATAAACAACATGATACAATATATGTATATATGGCTCGAAAGGCTCAAAATCTGCAAAGAGCCATGTGGCTATAGACTAGATATTGGCATAGAGACATGATGCTTCAAGTTTCAACATTTCAGCACATAGGTTTCGGGAATGTTGGACTCAGATTCACAGCTTTCTTCGGGCCCAAGCGCGCTCCGGTATGCAAGTGAGATCAAGGGAACATATGTAGAGTGAGCAAAAGGAGAGCTCTGAAAGTTGACTCCGCTCACGTTCTTGGGAAATCATCCGTGGGTGCAGTCGGAACAAGGTTTCAAGACCCTGTATCGAGTATGTCGGATATGGTAGCAGTTTGCCCGACTGTGCCACGTCTTCCCAGTAGCTGTTGTGATGTACAAATCACTGGCTGCTGGCACATGGTGTCCAGGTTCACGGACTTGTGCCTCAAGTCTCTCTATGGTGCCGTATGCATTGTCACGCAAACGGTTCAGATGCGCAACTTCCTTCTCAAGAGTCTGTACACGGCTCCTAAGTTGCTCTATCAGAGGATCTTCAGCATCAAGTGAGGCCGTGTCGACGTCCATGGGATCCGCGGTGTCGTCATCGTTGTGGTACTCGGTTGTCGTCGTATGGCGTTGTCTGCATCGTGAGCACCAGTAGCGAAGAGCACCCCATAGTGTCCATTCTACGCCAATGATGAGACATATCATCGTTGTCAGCCAGGACCACACATTGTCAGATTCGTTGACTCGGTCCACCGTAGTTGTCGAAGAGGAGGTGGACGTTGTAGAGGATGTCGAAGTAGAACTCGTGGAACTTGTTGACGTAGTAGATGCCATTGCGCTGCTGACCATCGCGGTGAAGAAGCATGACGTAGGTCTTGATGTACACATAGTACACGCGAAGGCCGTTGTTGCTGTAGTGAAGGACTTGATGAGCTCCTTGTCGGTGAGGTCCAGCTGCTCCTCAGTCACCTGCATGATCTGAGGTAGACGACGAAGTATCATCTTGTGGTTCTCGTGGTTGTGGAACTTGACGATGCCGGAAGAGAGTAGCTCCATGAGTGGAGGAGAAACCATGCTCTTGGTTAAACCATCTGCAGTCATAGATTGCGTTGGAGTCAGGGCGAGCCAACGTAGTCGTCCATGTAGTCGAGCTTCACGGAAGGCCAACACGTACAGCCTTTGTCCTTTGTCTTGTGGGATGGACTTGTCCCCGGAAGCCAGCTCAAAGAAATCCCGGCAGTCTGTGTAGTCGTCGACGGGAAGTTGCCGAACACCACCTTCTTGTACGGCAAGAAGTCCTTGTATGGTAGGCTTCCGAGACATATAGAGAATCTCGGCCATGCGCACAGCAACAAGGCTGCTGGTTTCAAGGCCGCTGACCGCTGCCAAGGTTTCGGCGTGGCTCGTGCTGTAGCTGATGCGCTTTGCCTTTGCACCGTGTCCCCAGAGGATGTGTGCAGAGCCACCCATCATGGCCGTCTCGTGATTCTCCAGCGTCCTTTCCATCGCACCATCGAGGTCGCCGATGTGGTCTTCCATCAGGAGGATGAGAACTCCTTCTTGGGCGTACTGCCGAGTACTTCCTGCAGCGCTGGAGTCGTGAATGCAGGCAAGACGAAGAGGAGGTCGAAGTCGCCTGAAGTGAAGACCCAGTCCATGACCAACTTCTGCCTTGGCTCGGTTAACCACAGTGTTTGCCTCCTTGAGGTGTCGTATGCGGGCTTGTGTGACCTGCGCCTGCAGATGACTGACATCTGCAATGATGTCGAGGCGCGTAGCAGTGAGCCAGAGCAGTGCCCCCAGAATTGACCGGAAGCTTGTCACTTCACTCGGCTCCAAGAACGCATCGTCCTTCTTTCCACTGGGAATGGTTGCAGGTTTCAGCTTCTTGCAGAACTCGTCTTGACTCATCATGAAACCAGAAGCAGTCTTGCTGTAGACGACGCCGCAGTGAGTGAAGGGAAGCTGTTGGCGAGTAACTTGACCAAACTTGTCGAGCAAGGTCTTGTACTGTTCGTCCAACCAAGTCTTCTTACTGCCGGCGCCAACGTCATCAACATGAGTAGTGGCAATGGCGAGGATGCCAGTGTCTTTCTTCTTCATCCAGAAGAAAAGGTTTTCATCCATGAGGCTCGGTATGCCGCCCTGGGACTCAAAGTGCTGGTGTAAGCAGAGCTGCCAAGCCAGAGGGGCATCGTTGAGGCCATAGATCGGTTTAAGGCAGATCAGCACGTAGTCATCCAGCTTGTCCTCAGGGATCTTGAAGGATGGATCGAGTCTGGCAAGGTGTCGCCAAACATTCCTCGGAACAACAACTGCAACCTTCCGCAAGGGTGCGGAGATCCCTTTGGCTCTCAGAAGTTCACGAATCTTCTCGAAAGTCAAGCCTTTGAGAAAAGCAGCTGTAACGTCCCAGCTCTCTATGTCAAAGTCCTGGGTCGCTGAAGTTGACATGAGCAAGCGTTGGCTCAGACGAGTTGCCGTCGTGGACCGTGTAGACAACATGTCTTTCTGCACGTCAAAGCAACCGCGTGCGCAAAGTCGTGACTTCACTCGACGAGATCCGTCGGGGTACCTTTTCCATTTCCGTACCCATATGCAGTCCACAACAACAACGTCAGCCGTCATGGCATTCTTGTGCATCTTCTTGAAGCTCTTGGTTTCCACAAACTGACGGATCTCATCGCCATCGGCCTTGTCCACGAGAGGCCAGTGGTCGTAGATCTCGTGCTCGGCGATGTTGTTTGTTTCCTCGTCAACCTTGTAGATATCGCCAGTTTGTAGATCAGCAAGTAGTTCTTGATGTACTTTGCCAGGCCAGACAAACAGGTGTGAGGCCGGAGCAACGTAGTAGTCGATGATGCTGTGTTCAGGAGGTAGTGAGTAACGTCGGGAGGTTGCTCGGCCCAGATGATCATCCCAGAGAGCGATCATGCATTGGTTGTCGTACTGAAACCAACTTGTTGGAAAGTCCATTGCAATGCATTGTGTCTTCCGCATCATCCAGAAAAGGTTCAGCATGTTATGCTGGGCGTAAGTAATCACCTTCTCCTGTCCGAGGGCCTTGAGGAGAGCTTCCAGTTTTGGTTTCTTTGTCTCAGGACAGAGAGTGACCGTGCGGCTCTCTGGACCCTTGCGCTTTAGCGACTCAGCTTCGTCATCGTCTTGTTCCATAGGAGTGATAGTGGCTTGAGGTGTAGTAGAGGAGGTTGGTGTTGTGGTTGATGTTGTAGCTTGAGGAGAACTAGGTTCCATGTCCATGGGTAGTTCATCGTCGTGGTCCACGGCTCCCTCGGAGGGTATCACCTTGACATCTCTGGTTGGTTCATACCGTGCTTCGAGGTAGTAGTAGACATAGATGAAGGCCAGTTCCTCAACCTTCTTGGTGGTGATCTTTTTCATGGTGATGGGCTGGTCATTGTTATGCTCATAGCAAGTGAACTCTTCCTGTCCACAGGCCCACATC